TATAGATAATAAATTGTGTTAATTAATTTTAATAAAATATTTAATTTAATTATTAATTATAGTTTTTGAAAAATTACAAATTAATTAGGATATGGGAGGTTGACCAATTTTTATTTATAGTATGTGTAACGGTTATTTAAAATCATAAATTAATGTAGATTTTTCTTTAAAATTTGTTTTAACAAATCCAAAATTTATAATATATATATGATAATCAATTTAATTTTTTTTAATCAACATATTATATTATTTGATTTTTTTACCATCTTGTTTGTATTAGTTAATATATTATTAATGTGCTAGAATCGTAAGTGTGCATATATATATATATATATATATAATCAATTTAATTTTTTTTAATCAACATATTATAATTTTTGATTTTTTTACCATCTTGTTTGTATTAGTTAATATATTATTAATGTGCTAGAATCGTAAGTGTGCATACAGTGGGCACAAAGTCCCCAAAGTGGAGGTGCAAGTGCAAGCCGACACTATGATCGCTTCAAGTAATAGAGTGGTATAGTACCAAAATCGTTTCCACGAGGACTGGACTTACTGAGCATCAGAGAGTTTCATGAACTTCTTGAACATGTTTCGGTTTTGAGAAAATGGAGTTGAGTTTTGTTTGTGCAAAGCTTTAAAATACGAAATAAACCTTTAATATTAAAAGATGGGTATGGGTGTAAACTTCCCTTAAAAATATTGTTGGAACAGTTTGGTTAGGAACTCATGGGACTTCTATAAGAACTCCGATCTCTCAAAAGTGAATTCTTATATACTGTGCCCACAGAGTGCCCACAAAGCGTCCAGTTTTATCAATCTTAAACTTGCCGAATTAGGTAATAGATAAAAAGATATCTGGTTCCACTAGCCTGAAGATTTATACTCAAATCTCTTTGTAGCATAAACTCGACTAATATCTGAACATTAGCTAAAAACATGCAGAACCCGCATCTCTGCGTGATTATCAAAGACTCTCTCAAATCTTTGTGCATCATCTAAGCCGTATTTCAGATCCGTCCATCTCTGGATCAAGAATCTAATATTAACACTTCAAAGTGATCAGTTTATCTGCGTTGAGCTTAAGTCCCGACTTAAATGACCAAGCTTAAGAATCAATAAAATTGGCAACACTCAAGTGTGCCTTCAAATTCTTAAGTTTGACTCACACCCACACCCAAAGGGGTGTTTAGCTCATAATAAAATTAGAAAACATAGAGGAAACAGACAAAGAAAAATGCATAAGAAATACTTGAACTGAAATTGCACTTAAATTGTTGCCCACAGGGAGCATACAATGCACAGTGGCGAGAATTAAAAACTAAATACGAAAATAAAATTAAATGCAAAAATTAAACTTGTTCTACTGCTGTAGAGCTTGAGAGAATGCTCCAAGGTTGTTTGGCTGAATTGTTGATCGAATGAATGTCTTCCAAATGAGAAAAAAGCTTCAACATATAGTGAAAAAGTGGGAACCGGACAAACTCTTTGCTCAAAGGAAGAAAGTCTGCATTAACTAGAGGATAAGGACCCCCCATCACTTCTTGTCTACTTTCCAGGTCTTGTCACCTTTTTTGAAAGGTTGAAAAAGGTAAAATTACCTAACCCTTAAATTAAGAAAAAAGTAATTAAAGCCTTTTCATTAAAATAATGGTAGGGTTACTTTTAAGACATTTTTTAATCCAACAAGGCCCATTCTTCTAAATAATTCAAGAATTTCGGATCTGACTTCAGAATTAAATCTCATTAATACCCAGGAGAGCCAATATTTGAATTTTGTCCAAATCCGTCTTGAAGAAATACGCCATAGAAAGAATGTGAGCAGAAAGTGGTCATTATACCAACAGCAATGGTTTTTCAGAAAATAATCAAATTCTTGACCTTTCATCACCTCTTAACATATTTTGGACCAAAAATACATGATAAGAGCAAAATGGGTACTAAAGACCCAATAAAATAGGGGTATTGAACAACAAATAACTCTCACAAATTAAGAGTTATCAATTATATTATTAGATATTTGTTTCAATTATATTTTGAAATATTATAATTGATTAATTTTTTATGATGTCCTTTTTGATCATTTTATAAAATTTGTTTATCAGTTAAACATGATTTATTTATCAGCTAGTTTGCCAAACATAACCCAAACGTAATAATAAAATGCATCATGACTTTGGTTTGTAGGACCAAGCAAAAAACGTCGCATCTAAAATGTTACAATGCGTACGTTTATAGGACGCTTTGATGCGTTTTAATATAGTCTTTTAGAACGTTTTTAAAATAAAGTGTTATAGTAGTTATTATACGACACTATTTGAAAAAGTGTCCTATATAAACTTGGTTTATAAGACACTTCTCAAAATTGTCTTATAAATTTACCTAATATGACATTTTATTTTAAAAAGCGCCCTAAAAAGCATGCTAAAAGGCCGAAAAGCATCTTGTAAACATATTATAACACTTTTAGATATGATGTTTTTTTGTTTGGTCCTATAAATATAAGTCATATAGAATATTTTATTAGAACACTTAATGAGTTGGGGGCAGAGGAACGGGAACAAGATATGCCAACCAAATTCATAAAAAAACAAACCAACCACTTGGGTGTTGCCGGCCCTACTACATATCACTTGGATTGTGATGTACTGGTTAAACTTTAGGAGATGCAGTGAAAAATCGCATCTACCTTGAGTTCGAAATTTGGGGTTGCCAAAGTCTTTGTGACCATGAAAAATCGCATCTACCTTGAGTTCGGAAATCGGATGCTTTCAGTTTCTCAATTTTATTTAGTCTCTCCATAATCGTGAAACTTTGAAGGGTGCTCGGGGTTATAGAAAACACAAGGAACATCAACAAAAAAACCCGAAAAAAAGTCGCTCAAAATCAACCCTAAAACCCAAAAAGTCCATCGAAATCAGCAAAAAAAACTTTAAAAACCCTTAAAATTGTGGAATTCGACTTAAGAATATATTGGATGATTTTACGGGTGATCAACCTTGATACAATCAAGAAAGGGCAAACTGGGGTAAAAGAGAAAAAGTATACGATCAATGTCATCAATTTTGGTCATTAGGGCATTCTCTTGCAAAATGTCCCACCTCCCTGCACCGATAACATGCTCCACCACGGCCGCCTCCGCTGCGGCCACCACCTCCGCCGCCACCGCCACCATCGTCATAACCTTGATCGCCACCAACACGATTGCTGCCCCTGTAACAGTCCCTTGCAAAATGACCAACACGTCCACAATTGTAACACTCCAGCACACCACCACCATCACCACGTCCACCCCTCCCGCCTCTCACACCATCTCGTCCACCCACAAATCTTCCTCGGTTATAGCCGCCACCATAACCACCTCTTCTTCCACGAACTCCACGTCTGGGCCCCGATTGGTAGGTTCTAGTACTTCTACCAATACCCACGACATCCACCGCCTTCTTCCGACCATCTTCACCCGTATCCACGGAGAATTCCACCCTTTGTCCATCTCTAAGAAACCGAAATCCCTCCGCCTTGATCTCAGACTGGTGAACAAAGAGATCTTCACCACCACCGTCGTCGTCATCATCATCGGTTGGAGCAATGAACCCAAAACCCTTTTGTCCACTGAACCACTTAACAGTCCCTTCATATCTCTTGATCTCTGCCATGAAAAAGGAGCTGCCAAGATTACATAAAATCTGGTCGTAAGTACGTAGAGTAGCTTTTCAAGCCATACACACAGTGGTATGGTGGGGTGTGTGGAATTTAGGGTGGAGATGGAGACATCGATCGTTGGCATTAATTGATGAATTTGAAGAGGTTTATCTGTTTGGGATTGGTTGATTTGGTCTTTGGNGGGGGGGAATTTAGGGTGGAGATGGAGACATCGATCGTTGGCATTAATTGATGAATTTGAAGAGGTTTATCTGTTTGGGATTGGTTGATTTGGTCTTTGGTGACGGTTGTTTATAGCCGTTGAAGTTGGGATTCGAACGAATGGACCAAAAATAGGATTGGGTTCGTTACTTCTCTCGATCAAATCTCGTTGCAGATATCAAGGCTATTGGATTTGCTTAAACAATAACGAGATTGGAATATATTTCTATGTATCTATTCATACATATATATATATATATATATATAGGGGCTCGGGGAGAACTGACTAGTCTGTGGTAATTGTGAGATTCGATCTCAACCACAAATCAATAGATAAATTAAGAAATTTATAATTTTCGTAATTTTTAATTAAAATTTTAATGCAAGGACATTTTAGGTATTTTTAATCCTCTCTCATCTCTTCTCTCTCCGTCCCCGTCTCCGGCCACCGTCCTCCGACCTCCGGCCACCGTCCTCCGATCTCCGGTCACCGTCCTCCGATCTCCGGTCACCGTCCTCCGGTGATACCATAGTGTGATACTCAAACACATATAAGATGCATTGTGATATCACTGTGTTACACATCCAATCGACCGCACAAACGACCACAGTGTGATACCCAATCACATATAAGATGCATTGTGATACCACTGTGGTATCATCGGAGAACGTGGCCGGAGGCCGGGGGATGGAGGCCCGGAGACGGAGAGAGAAGAGAGGAGATAGGAGAGAGAAGAGAAATTAACTAAAATGTCCTTGCATTAAAATTTTAATTAAAAATTATAGATTTTCTAATTTATCAATTGATTTGTGGTTAAGATTGGACCTCACGGTTACACAAACTAATTAGTTCTAATTTGATTAGGCCCATATATATATATATATATATATATATATATATATAGGGGCTGGTTCAAATACTAACCCAATATTTTGTGCAAACTATGCTAATCCATCTTAATCGTTTATTTTCTCATCTAACGGTTATTATTAAATGAGATTAAATAAAMAATAATTTAATTAATATGTGTATGAACAATTGTTCAAAGGATAAATTGGTCAAAAATTTGTATTAATTAATATGTGTATGAACAATCGTTCATCTTC